AGTTGGAGTATAGCAGCCGTCGCGGTAAGAAGATCCGGACGTGTGTGCGATTGTGTAATTGGGAGCGTGTGATACAGTGATACAAAGCTCCCCTACTGTCAACGTGTTACTACTGAAGACAGAGTGAACTGATTTGCGCATAGGGTTATAAGTCGTGAAACCCCGCAACAGTGTCAACAGATTAATGCGATTAGGGTTATAAAGTGTGAAACCCCGCAACTGTGAGATAATTAATTGTAGCCGTTATTTGTAGATTGTTAAATAAACCAATTAACCATCTCTACGGCGTCTTCAGTAACGTAAACACGTTACAATATGCTTCAGAACCACTGAACACTATATGAAAGGAATAAAATACAGATTACTACTGCTTTTCTTAACTGTGATTGTGTTTGGAAGGGTGTAAAGAAGTGATTAAATTTTTTATCTAAATGAAAACTGAAATAGTTCACAATTTTTTGTAAAGGTTGCCAATGGTAAATCCAATGAAAAACAGCCCAGTGATCACACTGTGAAACTTAACAGATGCTCCACAGGATTGCACACACACCTACAACAACTCTTGACTCTTGATGTACTCGTATGTGCATGTTCCTTGTGTTCAAATGTAACAATACAAACAGATTTTCTATAAATCTGTCCCCCAATTTCCCAGGCTCACTCAGTCCTCAGCACTCTCTTATGTTCTATCTGCAAGAGTATAAAGCTGAGGGAATGGATGGATGGTGGAAAGACGAATTTGAACCCAAAGCCTAAGTTTGCAAGTTCACATGTTTACTGCTACCCTGATGTGCTACCAACGCAACAATCTAGGCGACACCAACCTTGTTTTTGAATGCCGATGCAAAGTTAGCTGCTGATGTTTTAGTTGAGTCTGGAGGAGTCATTTTCTTCTCAACTGGCACAGAGTTGTTCAACAGCCCTGAAACAACATAACACAAGACATAATGGGCCCCATTACACAGCATTCTGGTCATATTTCGGTTCTTCATAATTTTCACCTGTTTGATTAGACTAATCTGATAATTACAACAGCATGCAATGAATTGGTTTGGTGTGGATTAGATTTCTTTGGACTGAATTATACTAATATGGATCGACTGGACTGGACTAGACTAAATTACATTTGTGTGGAAGACCGTGCCGTAGCTCAAGCGGTTAGTCACTGGCCTCCCACCACGGCAGCCCAGGTTCAATCCCAGGTCTGCACAAGTGGGATTTATGGTGGACAAAGTGGCTGGGGGCGGGTTTTCTCCGAGTACTTCGGTTTCCCTGCCAATCTTCATTCCACCAAATTCTCCATCCTCATAATCACCTGGGGCAGGCTACAATAGGCCAATCAGTGGCCGCCATGCCGAGTGGACCCAGTTGGACTCCACCCCCCACTAAACAAGAACATTTGTGTGGATAAAATTAGCTTGGAATGGTCTGAATCTGGTTGGTTTAATATGGCTTGGATTATATCAGTTTGGTTGGATCAGAGTTTTCACATTGCATGAAACAATGTTTTGGACTAAATTTCATTGGTTTGATTAGGTTGGGTCAAATTAGCATATATTGGCCTAGTTTAGGAGGCTCCAGTATGCATACAAATGCACGCTGACTGACTTACCATCACTGACAGGCTTATTTGCTGTGGGTTGAATGACAATTGGCAATACTTGCTTCTCTTCTTTCTTCACCACCTGATTTTGCATTATTGTAGTGGCAAGACTGGTTGCTGGGAGTGGATCAAAAATTGATGGCACACCTGTTGCCATTTGCATTCCGTTGTTGTACCCCCCCAGTGGTGGGCTTTGTTCTTCTGTCTTGACTGGCTGCATTGCTGGAATACTGGCAACGTGTGTGAAGCCATTACTGGAATGCTGTTGTGGTGTTGGTGGCGAGGCAGGCAGGGACATATCAAAACCTGGATGCATGGTTATTGGTGTGCTGACAATGCTGGAGGCAGTTGTGACGATCATGGGCATCTGTGCCAGGGGATCTACAGGGACTGTAGATGGCTTGTTGTTGTACTCGGGGGGCATCAGGTTTGCAACTGGAACTGGTGTAAGTGTCACTGTGGAAGCCACAGTAGGCGCTGCTGTGGTCGTTGTGGTGTTTGTACTTGTTGTTACTGGAAGCATGATAGGCTCCTTCTTCAAACTGGGCTCAGTTGCTGTTAGAAGTAAAACTACCAATTAGCTTACAACCTGATGCCTCAGCTTGTGCAAGGGACTTACCAATGAAAAGAAAAGAGAAGTCAGCACATATTCAGTGTTACAAATCATAAAGCAATTCCTCATAACAGGCAGCACAAAAACGTTGCATTCTGATGACTGATTTGCTGATGCAGGGTTCTTATTTTGACATGTATAAAATCAAATGGGAAAAGCAGATTCATATTAATACAGTTCAATTTACTGAACTGGAAAATGTTACACGTGAAAAAAAAGTTGTTCATCCATCCACTGGTATTCTGGTGGGTACAAAACTTATCATTAAAATAATTTTTATACCTTGATCAGTCTGCACTTTCATATTTCTACCTACGTTTCTCTGTAGCTGGAATGTTCACTTTTGGTGGCACTGGGGCCGCAACAGGTGGAGTCACCTTCTTGACTGGAGCAGCAGTGGCTGTGGCTGTTGGTCGGGGAGGCTGAGGGGGAAGAGTGTGGCTTGCCACGGGAACTGGTTTTGTTGTCACCACTGCAGAAACAATCCACAAACAGCAGAGATATTACATCATAAAGAAAGAAATTACTTTTCAAGGAGCAGCTGAGACTTCCAAAAGAGCTATTACCACCTTTCCATCAACAGACTATTCTGAGCTGCAAATATGCTACTTCTGCCTGCAAGGGTTGAATACATACCACATTAAAAGTTTTGTTTTATATATTTCATGACTAATACCATTTCTTTGTGAAATGAGTCAAAATTTAATTTCAGCTTCATGAAATATATTGTAATGGATTTGATCAACGCATTGCCAGGCAGCAGCCCTGTCAACATGGTCCAACGTGCAACAATACAGGAAGGTGTGTTTTCAGTGTCCGCATTGACGTCAGGCAGCTGTGGGAGGTGGTCATGTGACATGTGTTTCCTGTGATGCATGTCCATTCCTCAACTATATAAGTGACAGAATTTGTTTGGTTCAGGGATGAGTCAATTCTCAGTAGGAGATAGCCATAGGAAGTTTGTAGTTGAAGAAGAGTACAAGAAGTCAGCCTGTGAAGACTTAACGTACACAGTGTGTCCAGGTTCTGTCAGGACTGTGTTCATTAAAAATACAAGATTTGAATTATTTTCAAAATTCCACTCTTTTTATTCAAAATAGTCTCCTTCTGAATCAATACATAGCTGGAATCGATTGAAAAGTTTTCAAAAACAGTCACTGTACTCCTTTTGTGGAATCGCATTTCAAACTGTGGTACATTCCCTTTGGATGTCCTGGATGGTGTCGTGACGGTCTCCTTTCATCGCCAACTTAACTTTTGGGAACAACCAGAAATCTGCTGGAGCCAAATATGGCGAAAATAGAGGATGATCAAGGACTTTGATCCCTTTTCTGGCCAAAAAATCGCGCACGATCTTCAATTTGTGGGGTGGGACGCTGTCGTGGAGGAGCGACCAGGAACCTTGCTCTTGATATTCAGGTCGAATTGGAAGTATTCTCGCCCACAAACGGCTGAGGGCTCTGAGATAATGATCAGAATTCACTGTTCGACCTTGTGGCAGAAATTCCTTGTGAATGATTCCTTTGGAATCTAAGAAAATCGTTAAGTGCCTTTACTCAACTCTTTTGCATGCGCACTTTCTTTGGTTTCGGCTTCTTTGGGCTCAACCACGCTGCACTCTGCCACTTTCTGAGAGGCTCATATTGAAAATACCATGTCTCGTTACCAGTAACAATCGATTTTGTAAATTTTATATCACTTTGGGCCGACCATAACATGTCTTTGCAGTGTTCTACTCTGGCATGTTTTTCATCGTCTGACAGTGCATATGGTACAAACCGCACACAGACCTTCTGTTTCCCAAAATCCTCAGTCACTTTTTTCACATTTCTTCAGTGCGACTTTTTCTCGACTTTGATGCATGTAGGGTGTCTTCGATGTCCTCCCTGCCATCACGAAATACAGCATACCATCGAAAAATGTTCGAGCGACTCAAACAGTCACTACCATACACACTTTTCATCATTCCGTAGGTTCCTCCGACTATTTTGCCTAACTTCAAACAAAATTTGATGTTGGCTCTCTGTTCAACCGCCGTTTTCCGACAAGCGTCAGAACAGTACTGTTACATTCAACGTCAAAACACATGATGCAGCAATGCTTGCACTTTAAAATTATAGACAGCCCCAGCTGAAACTTCAAGAATCTTAATGCCATAACTTACCAACAGATGGCATTGCAGGGAAAAATTTAAAAAAAAAAAATTATTCCTAATGGATCCTGGCTTTATTTGTGCTGTAGCACAGTAATATTGGGAGTGTGTGATTTAGTGAGACTTTTATAGTGCCTGTTATAAATCCATGAAGACTAGTGCAGATAGACTGAGAAGATTAATGTGGAGTGACTGTAAATTGTGTAAATCAGAAATAGTATTATAATTATTTGTAGTTATGACCTGTAAGTGTCCAATAAATCCGATTACCAAACCAAACCCATGTCTTAGTCACTGTCCAGCCCTCACTCACTTTATTACTGACAGATTGCATCTAGAACCCCACATACAAAATTTTGATAGTGGTTACTGAAACATGATTACAGACATGGCAAAGCTATGACGACTCATTCTCCAGCAGACTATATAAAGATGTCTAAAGGGCACCTTACCTGGCTCTGGGATGGGTGCCTGCTGCTTGGGTGCGGCATGCTTACGGCCTGCACTGCTCATGACATGACCTGCTGACGGCATTGTGAGTGTTGCCACAGGACCTGGTACTGAGGTCACTGGTGCCTTCTGTTGGAGCAACAACAGCAGACAACTGAACTATACAATGTGTCTAAGTGACATGTAAATATTACTGTGACGGGAAGATGAATACATTATGTAGGAACGTTATGAGCAGCTAAGATGGCAGCGTCAATTCACGTGGGTAATGATGCTGAAGAAACCATAATATCTTCCTCAATGCTTGTTCTTATTTGAATATTGATGAAATTTGTGCACTTGGATGGAAAATCACTTTGATGCAGACACAAGGTTATCTATAGGAACACTTCATTCGAAAGACTGACTCAACCAGAAGCGTATTTCAATAAGAATTCTAACATCACACCATTAACAAAATATGTATCTGAAATGGATTCATCTGAATTTATCAAAAGAACAATTTCTCTGGGGACTTCTCATTAATATATTCAACACTCAAGATTTTTCTTCAAGTGTAGTATCATCTGACACACTGCCCAAGCACCTACCTCTCTACCCGTATCTTAAGATATATTCTGCAATCTGCCACTCACACTGCACCTATTATAATTCTTGTGAATTGCCCCAGATGGCAGGACTGATTCTGTTACTGTACTGGACTCATGACTGGGGGGGAGACATAATTTGAAACTTCAGCTGAAAAATTAAGGAAATTCAGGAACTTCGGTAAATTTTTATAACATGGAGAGGACTGAAAAGTAAAGGATACTTACCATGAGGCTATATCATTAGGTCTAGTCATAGGTTATCATCAGGGTATGTTCCTGTTCATACCTAGCACCAACTGTGCCAGCTTTTGCTACTGACTGGCAACTACCACACAAGATATCAAATGTTTTCTGTCATTGTTTACACCTATATGTAACTACTAACAACTTATACTATAACATGTACATGCATAACAGAATGGTTCTCAATATAAACAAACACAAATTTCTGATTCCAGACATCCTCATCTGTTTTTCACAGACTCAGTAAAGGAACTCTGTTTGTCCATCAACCTACACATAGCAATACTGACATTACACTTTTCAGAACTTAAAAGTGCAGTTGTGTAAAATTGCTTCTCATACATCTTGTACCACATGGTTCCAATTATGTAACGAAAGTTTGTTCGGTACTCTTTTGTACCTTCCAATCTATAATCACTTATATATAACACCTGAGTAAAGTGATCTTTCTGAAGAACATGTCACCTCCATCTTCAGATTTCAAGAGCAACAAAATGTTACTGCATTGTACCTCAGGAATTACATAAACACAACTCAGGTGTCTACATTCTTTCCTCGATCTGTTCTACAACAACAGCCTGTCAAATTCCTCATCTTCTTCCTGACAGCAAACTCTAGTGGGAATGAACTTACAATTGGTCTGAGTTAGGTGTGGTCACTTAAACTAACAGTTAAAAAAAAGTTTTAAGTGACAGGTTTTGGAGTGGAGACCACATGATGACACTTTAGCTTTAATGTGCCCTGATCCACAGACTACAGCAACTTCCTTTGCAGCTTCAGTGTAAAATCTGAACCTTCCATATTGGGATTCATCTTGCCACTAACCCTCCAGAGAGTCCATATGCGGAATCTGGATAATCTCCACTCTCCCTGTAAAGGAATCTCCTTATGCTGCGGCAGTCACATATCAAAGCCGTTAAACACAGCTTATCACCTGTCATATGACATGGTCTTTCACCCCACCCACTCCAACAGGTATGAGCTAAATATCAGGGCCCCTCAACCTGTGGGAACACACTTTCCATCACCATCTTGACATCCACTTCCAGCACAGCAGAACTTTCTTGCAACCCACCCTTAGTCTCTCATAAATCCAACTTCTCATTTTTGACTCATCAGACACACAAGACATGAAATGTATTGCCAGCTCTTTGCCGAGCTCACCTCCATTTATTCAGACTCATGATGGATTATACTGACAAAGTCATTTCTTCAAGAATCAACTGGATGTTCCTTCATACAAAGACCCAAGTTTTCAGATATGACCTCCACACTTTGAAAAGTATAAGGCGGAAATTTATGTCATTTCCCTATTTTCTTCTGTTCATTCAGCAAAAATCTTGGCAGTGTTACATCCTGTGCGCAGTATCCAGGGGCACTGCAGCAAAAGTTCTACCACCTCCACAAGGCATGAAGTCTGCTGTATTATGCTGGGTACCTGGCCACACGTCTGCCAAGGAATGAGGACGTGAAAGAAGCTGCTCTGCTCAGAAACTAAACATGCCAAGACTTAGGTAGTGCTATTTTAAATTGTGCCTTTTCATTCATAAGATCTTTGAGATCAGATGGCAGGTTATTAAAAATTTTGATCCCAGCATAATATGTGCTTTTCTGAAAGCATGAGAGGTTAGCAATTGGTTTATGAAGACAGGGTTTGTCTCTTGCGTTAACACTGTGTACATCTGCATTTGTCTGAAAATGTTCTTCGTTATTTGTAATGAAGTTTATTAATGAATATATATATTCACAGGAAAATTTAAGATCTGTAGTTTCTTAAATAGATCAGAATATAAGAGGATTGAGAAACAAAACAAATGAACTAATAAGCTCCATGAATTCAAATCTTCCACACATACTGTGCCTTACTGAACATCACATGAAACAGCTGGAATTAGAACATCTTCACTTAGAAAATTATAATTTAGGTGCTAGATACTGTAGGAAAACCCTGGAGAAAGGAGGAGTGAGTATTTTTGTACACAAAAACCTAAAATTTACTAAAATAAATTTAGAAGATTATTGCAAAGACCAGGATCTGGAAGCATGTGCTCTAAAGTTAGACTCTCCTTTTTCAAATATTTGTATACTGACTTTATATAGAGCCCCATCTGGAAACTTCAGTCACTTTTTAAATAGATTAGAAACCATCCTAAATGTACTGCATAGTTCAAAAGTTGAATTTATAATTTGTGGTGATATAAATATAAACTATCTCATCGACAGTAATAGGAAACTAAATTTAGACTCTTTGTTATCATCTTACAATCTCTCCAGTACTGTTAACTTTCCCACAAGAGTTCAAAATAATTCTAGTTCAGCGATAGATAATATATTCATTGATAACTCAAAATTAAGAGACTATACTGTAGGACCCTTTATAAATGGCTTATCCGATCATGATGCTCAACTCATAGAAATAAATAATATTGACCTTCAGCCCAGTAATCAACAATATCAAACAGTAAGGAAAATCAACAAGCATACGATGGCAGATTTTGTCACAAAATTAAGTAATGAATCATGGGACAATGTATTTGACAGCAATAATATTGATTCTAAATTTAATTGCTTTCTGAACACATACTTGAGGATCTTTTATTCAAGCTTTCCCTTAAAAATAGTCAAAAATGAAAATAAAAACAAATCCACCTGGATAACAATTGGAATAAAAACTTCATGTAAACACAAAAGACAACTATATTTGGCCAGTAGGGACAGTAATGATCCAAGACTAAAAAGTCACTACAAAATGTACTGTAAAATTTTGTCAAAAGTCATTAAAGAAGCCAAACAGAATAACTATAACAGCCAAATTCTAAAATCAAACAATAAAATTAAAACCACCTGGGATATTGTGAAAGTTGAATCAGGAAAGAAATCTGTTAATGAAGACGTACAAAGTTTGAATATTGAAGGGAAGTCCACTAACAATCCACAAGCTATCGCAAGTGCATTTAATGAATATTTCCTTTCATTAGCTGAGAAAACATATTCCAATAACAACAATACTAATAATAATAATAATAATAATAATAATAATAATAATAATAATAATAATCCAATATACTATCTGTCTCGTGCCTTTAACAATTCATTTCCAAATATCAATCTCAAATTCTCAACAAGGAAGGAAATTGAAAACATTATTAAATCCCTTAAGCCCAAAAATTCACATGGATATGATGAAATCTCTACCAAATTACTTAAAGCAAGCTCTGTTTACATCAGTTCACCCTTGAATCATCTATGTAATAAATCTTTATCATCAGGTACTTTTCCTCAACGCTTAAAATACGCTGTAATGAAACCACTTTTTAAAAAAGGAGAGAGAAAATGCATCTCTAATTACAGACCAATATCCATATTGACTTCATTCTCAAAAGTCTTTGAAAAAGTTATGTATAATAGACTACTTGAACACTTAAATTCTAACAACATATTAGTCAAAGAGCAATTTGGATTTAGGAAAGACCTAACAACAGAAAAAGCAACCTATGAACTAACTAACGATATTTTAAGTGCTCTCAATGACAGATTAATTGTGGGAGGGATTTTCTGTGATCTAGCAAAAGCTTTCGATTGTGTTAATCATGATATCTTACTATCGAAATTAAATTTCTATGGAATAACTGGCAAAGCTAATGAATGGATCAAATCATACCTCAAAAACAGGTATCAAAGAGTTGAAATAAATAATAAAAACTCCAGTCATAATGCATTTTCAAACTGGGGAATTATAAAGCACGGTGTTCCACAAGGATCAATTTTAGGTCCCTTACTTTTTCTTCTCTACATAAATGATCTATCTAAAACCATCAACAATAAATCTAAACCAATTCTATATGCAGATGACACTAGTATAATATTTAAGAACTCTAAATTTGAAAACTTTAAAAATGACATAAATATTGTATTTGAAGCCTTAAACAGATGGTTCGAAGCCAATTTACTCTCATTAAATTTTGATAAAACCCATTACATATCATTCACAACTAAAAACAACCACCAAATTGATCTGGACATCAGTTATGCCAACAAATTAATCTGTAAAGTACTTGATACAAAATTCCTTGGAATACATGTAGACAGTACACTGTCTTGGAAAATACATATTGAACAAATTATACCTAAATTAAATGCAGCTTGCTATGCGATGAGATCAATTAAGCCTTTTATGTCACAGGAAACATTGAAGATGGTTTACCATGCCTACTTTCATTCTATTATGAACTATGGATTAATATTTTGGGGGAACTCTTCACATAGTGTAATAATTTTTAAAATACAAAAGAATATAATAAGAATCATTACAGGATGTAGAAGTAGAGATTCATGTAGAGAATTATTTAAGAAATTAAAAATTCTACCTCTTCAATCGCAATACATATTATCGCTTCTCTTATTTGTTGTTTACAACAAAGATAAATTCAAATTAAATTCTGATGTCTATAACATGAATACTAGACAAAAATATAACTTCCACCTACCCTCATCAACTTTATCAGTATATCAAAAAGGAGTCTACTTTACTGGCATAAAAGTGTTCAACAATCTGCCACAAAGTATTAAAAACTTGGGCAATGATACTAAAAAGTTTAAATCAGAGTTAAAGAATTATCTACATGCTCATTCCTTCTACTCTTTAGATGAATACTTCAATGTAAATAGAGAATGATGTAAAATTAAGTTATATTAATTTTTAAGCTAAAATTGCCTGTACTTATGTATGTAACATTTTGACTTGTTCTGTATCCAAAGGTACTAACCTGCTTAGGATTTATAGAATGTAAATAAATTCAATTCAATTCAATTCTACAGGAATTACAGGATTTGACACCCATCATGATTCTAACAATTTTCTTTTGCAATAACTTTTTACTGTCAGATGAATTACCCCAGAAAATTATTCCACACATCATTAAGGAGTGAAAGTAAGCAAAACAGATTGATTTGAGCGTGTCACTGTTACTAATATGTAACATGAATCTAACTGCATTACATTCTACTTTGCTTTGGAATCAACCGATTGATATGGTTTTTCCAGTTTAAATGATTATCAATTTGCAAACCAAGGAATTTTGTGTTTACTCCCTCTTCTATGCATTTATCATTATATCCTATGTTTAACCCTTTGACGTGGTCATTTAAATTCCGCGGCCGCGGCTNTTGTGGTGAGTTTGTTATAAATTTTATTACATTTGTTTTTTCTAGGTTCAGGGACAGCTTGTTTGCAGAAAACCATTTACTCACTTGTGAAAGAACCTTGCTTGATAACATGTAGAAATCATCTAAATTTTTACCAGAAATTATAACACTAGTGTCATCTGCAAATATTATAGGTATTGGATGAGATCCTTAGTGTAGGAGGGAGGTCATTTATATAAATTATGAAAAGCAAAGGCCCCAAAATTGACCCGTGGGCAACAAAAATGTAATTTATGTACTGAAATTGTAGGGAATTGCTTGAATGCTTCAATAAATAATCATACTAAATAACTTGCTTGTTCTGTAAACGGCCCCAGGGAAACTTACTTTGTGGACAAGCCTCGTAATTAATAAAATTTCATGATTTACACAGTCAAAAGACTTCGCCGAGTCACAGAATAGTCCATCAACATGCATCTTTTTATTAATAGATTTCAACAAACTGTCTGTTAACTTAAAGGCTCCATTTTCAATTGGCATTCCTTTCCTGGAGCTAAACTCTTCTGGGACTAGTATATTGATACTCTGAAAATAATGGCTTAACCTACTGTATATAACTTTTTCAAGTACTTTAGAGAAAGTAGCTAGCAGTGAAATTGGCCTGTAGTTTAACATACTAGTCTTGTCCCCTTTTTAGTGGTCTCACTACTGAAATCTTAGGATGATCAGGAAAGATTCCTGTGGATAGTGAGTGATTACAAATGTGAGTTAATGGGCTACTGATTAGAGATGCACAAACTTCTAAAATTTTACTTGTTATCCATCATAACCTGAAGAGTTTTTTGCTTTGAGGGAATGTATTATACTTTTTATTTCAGTTTCAGTGGTTGGAATGGTTTTAATACCAGGGAATTTTCTAGGAAATGCCTCTCTTAAAAATGAAATGACATTATCTCCCACTTCCTGATACAAGTTTAGATTTTCTGTAATTGTTGGAAAAAAGTATTCAAGGCATCTGCAATTTCTCCTGGGTCCTCCACTTTTTCATCATTTATAAGGAGAGATGGTATCTGCTCAGTCAGATGTGAGTTTCCTGTTTCATGTTTTATTATATTCCAGGTTTTTATCTGATTATTCGAGTTTGCTGTAAGCCTACAGTAATGCTGCCTTTTAGCCTCTTTTATAACTCTACTCAGGATTTTGCAATACCTTATGTAGTATGCTCTCATGTAGGGATTATTATTGCTCCTGCTGTTTACATACACACGCCCTTTATGTTTACAAGATATTTTTATTCCTTGTGTAATCCAGTGGTTTTTTATTCTTATGCTTTTTATTCTGCATAGGAAAACTGGCTTCAAAGATATTTAGAAAAATATATAAAAAGAGTTAAACTATAATTTATATCTTTATTTTTGAAAACAGGTTCCCATGTTTAATTTTCTAATAGATGCTGAAATAGAGCAATGGTTTCACTATTTATTTTTCTGGTTCTCTGTTTCAAAGTGCTGAATTTACTCTTGCAATTATTTACTGTGAGAAATTGAGCATCATGGTCAGAGAGGCCATTGTCCCCAACTTAACTCCATGCTAATGATGTGAGACAATTGTTCACCTCTCAAAGAGATACTTCCCATTGAATGCCAATGTTTATCATCACAAAAGCATATCCTGAGACATTAAATCAGAAAGTAATACCAGATTCTCATATCTGAATTTCTCATTAAAGTGGGTACATATTTTGTTAAGATTTGAGATCCTTGCCATGATAGAGCATATTTATCTTTCGGAATACGCCACCAAACAGCCTAAGTTTACTTGTGTTCCACAACTTCATGATTTTATTTCTTCAGAGGTTCGGCTGTTATGTTAATGCGCACAGGCTTTGTTAAGTATTTAATATGACTTGAATAAAATTATATATTTATGTGCAAATAGTTCATTCAAACTTGACACAGTAATGTTTAGCACCCCGGAGAACAGCCATTCAAACATAAATCAAAAACATCAATCTTTCAGTTCTCTGTTGGTGGTATTCAAGCAGATGGGGGTGTGTTTAGGTCTGCAATTCTGTAACTTCAATGCTGAATAAATTCTGTATTCAGACACACTGTACATTATAATGCCTGGAAGAGATACAGTAAACTTTGCAAGATGTCTACTGAATGCTGTAATATATCACACTCAAGTGTTATGGCATGTCCAGGTATCAGAAAAAAAATCCAAGATATGAAACAAGAAGTTTCAGGCAGAAACCCAATTATTCTACGGCACACTTCCATTGTCACAAATCTAAAGTTAATGCTATATTCAGGTAGTTTATAATCCAACAAACAGAGCAGTGCACTTTTGCTCATTAGCATGTGCACTCACGCGAAGATGAAATGATCAAATCACAGTTGACCACACATTTCTTATCACATTCAACTGTTGTGATGCAGTTTTACTGCAGTAAACCCAAAGCACCTGGAATTCTTATCCAACCAGCAAAAATTTCAAAAGAAATTACCCCTTTTATAAAGTTATTCAAAAACAAATTTGTGATGCATATTATGTTCAGCCCACCATGCAGTATTCTCCTGGCTGCCACTGGCACTGCTACCTCCTCCATGCTTCCACCATTAATACTAGCTGAATTTATGATGCAACAGTTAAACGAAACCAAGAAAATCTCTCTGCATCAATCTGCTTTGTCACCTATGTAAACATCCCAAGCAGGAACTAAAGCAAAAACTTTGACTTTCTACTGGATTTCTCTGTTTCCTCTCATGCAACTCCACCCATATAATAGGATGTTTGCTGCTGTACTACTGTTATTTGTATTGTTTACTGTTCTTCTGGTCATGCTTAATTTCTCAAACACAACCCCACTTCTTTTTGCGAACCATTTCTATACTAGCAAATATACACCTGGCAAGCATGGCACCCTTTAAGTTTAAAGAGTGTCGGTCAATTCTGACTCAAACTGAAGAATTTCATGTGGGGAAACAATTTCAAGCTTTACCAAAGCTGCCAGTATGAAATAGCACAAGCAAGAAACATGGCTGTTTGTTTCATCAAGGTACTTACAGTCTGGTGGTTATTCTTCTTGTTTCTCTTGCGTGGTGGTCTCCCTGTTCGACCTGCAAGGAACACAATTCCAAGATTCACCAGCACCAATTTCAAAACAATTCACGGACAGCTGTGCTCACTGTGCCACAATGTTCTTCATTTAGGACATGGGATGGACATGCACAACACAAGGTACTTCAGCTGCTGATGAACTCTTACTCCCTTCAGAATCTATTAACTTTAGAGCAGCTGTGCAACATGGGCTCATCTCCCCAGACACACTTCCTTGGGATGGAGGGGGGGGCATCACCCAGCTACCAAAACTAGCCTAAATTTTTCCAATAGAAAAAGCCCTTGGTAATGAGGAGAGGAGAGAATGGAGACTGGAGATAGCACAAAACACCACGGTTCAACCATTTTAGGGCAACTGGCGATCTAAACTTTTGTAGTACATTTATTTACCACATTCTCAATGCAAAGACAGTAAGGTGGTAGGTGGTAATATCCCAGAGTAGAACTATTGATAGGGATAGGACATGGAGTGTCACTGGCCCAAAGCTACAGTATGCCAAACATTCAAATGCAAATCAAATAAACTGTGCTCTAAGAACTCAGAGAGAGAGAGAGAGAGAGAGAGAGAGAACAAATTTAGTAAAAACAATGATAAGCACAAATCATCTTTTTACAATTCCAGAAATTTATTCTGAAGCAATCAAGCAACATACATCTAAACACTTAAGACATTAAACTACAACTGTCAAAGTTTACTTTACTGCTTAGAGGCGTTAAATATGTGCACTATTCATAACTGTATCCAAATCAAGTTTATATTCCAGTTCCAACCATACATTTATTTAGTGGCAAAAGAGAACTTTCCCTTTACACAAAGAACCTGCCTCAAGTACTTCTTTGGAAAATGCATAAATGGATGGCTTACAAGGGGGGGTCCACTCCAAATTCCATCCTATTGCCTTAATATTAAACCACACACTTCACTTTCTGCTGAGATGTCACCATTTTCTTGATTGCAGTGCCCCTGTCAGCAAATCACTGGAACTGCACGTGCACAATTCAAATGACAGTTGCAATCTATGCCTGAAAACAGTATTATCTTGCCTGACTGTTCCACAACATATTTCCAAATTGTCAATATTATTTGTGCTCATTCTGTATTGTGTGTTACATTCCAAAGAATACAAATTCTTCTCAAGTGTTGTGTTAAATTTTATTCTTCATTTTTCCACCTGCAATATAACAGACACACAATTCAAGAATTTGGGTTTCATGTCTTCCCTTGGGTCACAACCACAATGTAAGGCCAGTGTTTATACTTCCACCAATGCAGATCTCATGCTGCACTGCATTCATTCTAGCACAGTTTTTCAACTCAAAGCCTCATTACTTCACAAACATAAAAAAAAAGTTAACTACTTTGTTTCCTACTATGGACCTAACCAAAAACATGCAAGACTTTATGGAACATGCTCAGTATTCTTGCCAACATGTACGATGGGGTACCCAAAAGAAACCGAACTAATTTTTTTGTGGGCAGCTTTTGTAGTACCGCGTTTTGCCGCTATGAGCGCATAGAGCTAACATTCCTGAGTTGATAAGCTGACTACCGTTGCTTCAGAAGGTAAGGACTAGTTTCGGCAGAGTTTATAGTGAAAACTGTTTTGTGTGATCGTCGTTTTTGCAATGGCTGATTTTCATGAACAGCGTCCGGCGGTGAAATTCTGCTTTTTGCTCGGGAAAAGTGGAACAGAAACTCTTGAAATGTTAAAAGCAGCATACAAGGACAATGCTATGGGGAAAACTCAAGTGTTTGAGTGGTTTTCCCGTTTCAAAAATGGTGAAATGTCAATTGATGACAAACCTCGTTCTGGTCGTCCTTCCACAGCCCGAACACATGAAAATGTTGAAAAAATTCGTGAAATCATCAAGGAAGATAGACGACGGACCATTGAAGAAATTGTGGAGCTGTTGGGAGTGACTTGGAGCACAGCGGCCAGATTTGTGGCAGTCAGGTGACTGGTTTTTCCATCATGACAATGCCCCTGCTCACACAGCCCTGTCTGTATGATAATTCTTGACCAAAAATGGTATGACCCCTGTTCCTCACCCTCCATACTCACCCAACCTTGCCCCGTGCGACTTTTTTTTTTGTTTCCTCGAATGAAAAGAGACATGAAAGGAAAAAACGATCGAGGCGCTGTCAAGCATCTCAAAAGATGAATTTAGACTATGTTTTCAAAAATGGAATAAAAGACTAGACAAGTGTATTCGTGTAAGTGGAGAGTACTCTGAAGGGGATTGAAGGTTTGTGCTTAAAATTTGAATAAATAAGTTTAAAAAAAAATAAGTTCGGTTTCTTTTGCGTACCCCCTCGTATGGCTGCCACATCTGTTGAAGTGGTGTGATTGAAATCCTCAGTCCCAATTTTACTTTAATTATACAATTAAACTAATTTCTTAACATTAAAATTTCTTAATTCTTTAAAACTTCAGCTACTTACGCTACACTGACACCATAAATTTCACCCTGAGGTCCACCACGACTCCTTGATGAACAGAAAGATAAAAACACCCCTCGACAAGATTTCAACTGACCCATATTGTTCAGGGAAACATACTATTATGGTTGCCACACGGCATTCAACATTAATCTTGTCTTCAGCAAAATAATGCATTTATAAGATTATCATCAAGGAAATCATTCAATGTAATTTTCATCAAGAAATCAAAGTGGATGGAACCTGTAAGCATGAATATCCTTAAATGCCTTGTCACATCACATTCAACTTTAAAAGTGCTCTCCCAAAATTAGACATAGGCAAAATTTCATCAAGGAACATTTTAGCCCATGTTCACAAGGAATTCTACGGTGGAGCCTGTAGATACGAATGTGCAAAAACTCTACACATGATGATGATAAGGAACACCACCATATCGCAGGCACTGTATGCATACTTTGCTTCTAAAGTACATATACTTTCTGATACCAGTGACATTTTTGACTGCTTAACAATTTATCACCACCAAACAGTTAACATTTAAGCCATCATTCAACAGAAAAAACACACTTTTCCCAGGGCTTTGCACTGGACACAACTCAATCTGTCGCTTCCAAAGACACACTGAATTTTGACTCAAAATCTGAAATACATGACAGTGCTATAGTACATGTGCAACAACTACAGAAAACGTTTTACCATGTGCACAGCTAAACAGTAACACATGGTACTGAACGACATTAAGAAAAAGCAGGTTCAAATCCTGACTAGGACATGATGGATGGACATCTCATTTTGGAATGCAGGGTTACATTAATGATTGATTGTATTAGTATTAGTTTTTATTAACCAGAGATCTGAGGTTCTCACAGCAATAAAGATTTGAACTTTGACATCACTTCAGAGGAACCTTGCTGTGCCTCTGAGTTCACAATGTCATAACCCAAACAACAAAAATTCCATTAACTTTTGTATGCATGCAGATGTCTCGCTTTCTGTTGTGGTATGGATACGTTACTAAGGTACATGTAAAGCTGGGAATACAGTTCTGTCCACACTGCAATCTGAAACCTTCAGCATTAACCAGACAGCACAGTAAATCGAAGTCAACTGTAGGATTTGCGGTCAGTCAATTATTGGTTATAGTAGGAAAAGCTTTCAAAGTGTACAAAGAAAGTCACTGTTAAACACAATTTTCTGGTCAGAACCATGTGTTGAGGAAACTGTGTTAGGACCAAAACGTGCATGTAGTTTGGTAGACATGACAACTACCAACAGAACTACACAGCCATGGTCTTAAAATTCACCCCTGTATGAACCTCAATCTTTTAACTGCCACTATGGCTTCCAAGAGTAGACTGCAATAAGGGGGTAAACAGAGCACAAGATCTGATCAATTATTGGATTTGTAACAGTGGCCTTACACTGACTCAACTTACCTTGCCCCAACTAAAACTTACATCACTCAACTTACCTCCAGACACCCACACACATTTGATGCCTCAAATAAACAAGTTTACGTGAAGTACTAACACCACTAACACATATTGAGTGCAGAATGTGATTCTTGGGGTTCTAGCAACCAGTTTGTACAATGGCTTCTATATAATCTTTTATTTCATATCATTATTTTCACTGTGTACAACAATGATTCATCTTCATTAAAAAAAATTACAGACGGAAAATGACTACAAAAAGAACAGCTGACATCACATGCTTACAGATAATAATTTATATACAAATATGTGTGATGAAAAATGCTGGGAGTTAACCAATCACATTACCAGTCCGTTAAATGCACAGAGGAAGGGCACTGGCCCGCGCATAGGCACAGACTGTGAAGGACACCTAAATGCGGGCACAGCGTCAGATATAGAACACTCCTTCACACATTTTTTTAGTACTGGGGGGGAAAATAAAAATAAAAAATATGTAAAATCTGAATATGGAGACAGTACAAGCAGGCTTCACAGAATTTCCAACAAACCTTGAGTTTCGAGTTTCTCCCTCTTTCACAACTNTTTTTATTTCTATGCACGATGTATTCTAGGTGGTCTGAATTACTATTTATGGCATCAAAACCTTGGCAGAGAACTCTCTCTCATTCACACAAAAAACAGTTTAGGTCATTTTGTACAATTTGGGCAACTTATGCCCATTATTTGCTACAGATTATTCACAATATCAGATTCCTCGCGCACTCATGCAGACTTCAACTTCTCACTACCAGGATTGTTTTATACTCTACAGACACTGAATACTAAAGTACAGTGAGTGGTCACATAGTAAAACTGTGTTCCTTGAGTACCCACCCCCTGCCAACGCACGGTACATTAATGGAACTACACCACACGCAATAAAACTGAGCCTCAGAAAGGCCTGCCCACCGCTCCACTAACACTTCATCTGCTTGCTTGCTTGCTTGCTTGCTTGCTTGCTTGCTTGCTTGCTTGCTCGTTTCATCTTGCTTCGTGTGCCTATGCATTCATTTCTTAAGAATGTTCTGATGTCTTTCAAGATACATATTTCTTCTTTTTCACTGCAACAGTTTCACACATTTCACTTCCTTGGCAATATTAAAACATGAAACAACAAGACATACAGCAGCCAGGGAGTGCAAACAATGTGCTTGGAGGCCAGTGAGCCAATGCCATCATCCTACAGTAATGAGGGTGGACCCATCCAAAGATGCAGGACTTGACACTGCACCACACACAGCAGAACATAAATACCACTCAGCTAGGACTAAGATTTTGAATCCCCCAAAGAACTCAAACCTCATGCACCGCTTCAGATCCGAGCACTTGACTCTACGACACGGGTGCAGTATCAAGTCCTCCAGCCACCATTCACATTGTCTGCATGTCACATATACACCACTGTTGATACTGCGCTACGTAGAGTCCAGCCTCTTGCCAAGGGTTTCTTGAGAAGAATAAGCTCGTCTTCATGTAGCGTCCACCAGCATTTTTCAGCCAGTTCGTTAAACACAACAGCTGGCTGACTGACCCCAAACAACACATTCTGCACTCTTGGCTATCTATATTAATCACAAAGTAATACTATAACCTGGTCTTTGTACCATGTGTTTGTGCCAACTTCGACAGCAATAAAAACTGTACCTCAAGACTGATGGTCAGAGCCTCAAATACTGTGTGCCACTTACTGTTTGGGTGGCAATATTGTGTACACTACTCAACTTGCTGCCTATATGGTAAGTGCACTGCAACTAATGTTTCACTGCACCAGGAGAACAAGCCCTGCCAATGTCTGCTACATTGTAACTGAATACACTTGGCACATTGAGACAGCACAATTTTCATGTGAACCTAACTTGGCAACTCAACACACAGGACAAGTGTTGTGGGAAATATCTAACCTGCTTCCGAGTCACTGGAGTCGGACGAACTGCTAGAGAGGCTGGAACTACTGGAGTCTGTGTCCGAACTGCTGGAACTGGAGGCTGAAAGCCGGGAGGTGCCACCCACATCCACAGACTTGTTTTCCTCTGCAATACACAATACAGGATGTGTGAGCTGAAGGAAGGAGAGGGCTGTGAAATTCAAAATTGTTTGGGGGGAGGGGATAATCATCACCAATATTCTATGCACTAAGTATGAAAGCAGTAACTACTTGGAGGAGGGGGTATTAAAGAGGATATGTTTTGCTCAAAATCCAAAATGTAAAAGTGTAGAAAAAATGATAGAGGTCTGCGAATTTTTCAACTGAAGTTCTCAGTCTTAAAATAACATACTTGGGTGCCTAAAGAAATGGCATAATGATCAAACAGATGGCCCAGTTCCTGGGGAATTGCGAATGCTCGGCACACTCCTATGAAAGATTACACATCAGAAGCAACAAATGGAATGACAACTTTTAACTTTGAAGCACAAATAATTGTTTGGAGCCGCACTAATAGTTTCAACCCATTCATTCAACTTCCTTCAGTCACCACAGATGTTACCTTTCTTGGGCGGCTTCTTTGCTGACCCAAGCTGTCCTGTCACATCCTGCAACCTCTTCTCCAGCTCTTGCTTCTTCTCAGCCATCTGCTCATCTTTTGACTTCCCTGGAAGTTTCTTGTCTAAAAACACATGGCACAAACCTCATTAGAATGAACATGACTGGTACTTTCAAACTGCATCAACAAGAACACACAGCGTGTCTCCACATCTGGCATAATTTAACCTCAATCACTATACAGAAGTAACGTGACACACTTGAAGCTCTACTCTGTTTACAGTGTCTTACTTTGGTGACATGGCAATGGCACACGCTCATGAGAACGTAGCCTTCACTCAGATGTAAGACATTCTAAAACCCCATACAGGTAACAACAACCAGCAACCAACCATATCACAATGCTCCTACACCTTCCTCTGTATTTTCTTCACATTTCTGAGACTCTACACTGCACTCTAGATCTCCAGAAATTCTTTCCATGGAAAAAAAACTAATTCCAAACATTCCACAATATCCCTAATATTGTTATCCAAGTTATGCTACTGTGAAGCCTAATTGGTGGAAATTAAATGATTCAGAGGATCTTACAATATCTATCTTCTGGGTCTTTTATGTTCCTCAAGAACAATGGTAACCACCTACCAGAAGGTCACAATATTAATCTTCACCACTGTCAGAACCTCTCTCATACAGATGTAGAGCTGAGGAAAAACCAGTTACAGAATGAGACAATGAATGACTTTCCTCTGAAGCAGGAAGTTACTGAGCAGTAGCATGGATATGAAAAGTTCAGCTGAAATTACTTCTGGAATTGTACGATGTGGAAATCACTAAGTAAAGGAAAGGAAATAATATACTACCAGGTATGAGTTTATAGAAATGAGAAAATGTCAGTAAATATGTACCAAACAAAAAACAAACTCTATGGGTTAAGTCTGCAAATGAACTATACCAAGCGAGCAACTGCTACTTGTTGGCAAAGTTAGTGCCAACTTTAGTGAATAGAGGCTGTCGCGTGGTCAGCACAACAAATCCCCACGGCCAGTAAATATGTACCTGGATACCAAAAAGTAGACCTAAAATATAAATAATAATACACTGTGTTCAATGGAGGAGGAACTTTGCAACACCGTTGAGCGGGCACAACACTCCTCACAGATTGCTGCTGTAACTGCCGATAGCAGAACGAGTCATAAATACTGATAAAAAACGCAGGTGAGTGGCATGATCTTGTCACTGCAGTTAAGTCACATTAATAGTCAGTCTGTGTTACAGATTTTGACAGGCAGTCAACATTTATACTGAAATGAACTTCACTATTGAACAGATTGTTCACTGTAAAAATTTTTCCAAGACAAAAAAAAAACTTAAGAAAATGTATCAGTAAGTTTCATCATAAAAATCCTGATGCGCGAGTTCCCACAAAGTCGTGTGTATCCAAGCTTGTGAAAAGGTGGTGGGCCACAGGTTCAGTGTGTGATATAAAGAAGCGATAGAAGAGGATTGTGCTGACTGAAGAAAAAGTTCACGATATTGAGGCACAACTACAGATCATTCCTTGAAAATCGTTAACGACGCTTAGCTCAGAAAACCGGTGTTTCGTTAGAATTTGCTTTCACAGCCACAACATTAATCAAATTTCACCCATATAAAATAACAGTTGTGCATGATCTGAAACAACCAGATTATGCAGCAGGAATTCGTTTTTGCAATAAAATAATAGCTGCACATGATCTAAAACAACCAGATTACGCAGCAGGAATTCGTTTTTGCAATAAAATATGGTTGTGCATGATCTGAAACAACCAGATTATGCAGAAAGAATTCGTTTTTGCAACTGTCTGCTGCAAAATGTGCACAATGGAATCGTGGATCCACGCTTCTGTTCATGACTGACAAGGTATGGTTTCACATTAGTAGTCATGTCAATGCACAAAATGTAAGAATATGGAGCGATGAAAATCCTCGCGCTATACAGCAAGTGCCATTACATAGTGAAACGGTGGGGGTGTGGTGTGCTGCAAGTCCACCGCGAATCATTGGCCCCTCATTCTTCCACGAAACCGTGAACCCTGAACCCTGACCTCTACGTTAATGCTTAAGACAATATGGGTACTTTGAGCAAGACCACTACAGCACATGTGGATAATGCAGCCATGTTCGCAATACGGGAAGTGTCTGAAGACAGAACAGTCAGCAGGGGACTGGGGCCTCCCAGATACGCAGATCTGTTTTTGTGATTTTTATCTTTGGGGAAACCTGAAGGGAAAAGTACAAGAATAATCCTCGCACCACTGAAGCTCTGCAGAATGAATTAATATGCACAATTAGTTCAAGTACCATGGACCAGCTTCAGTGCCGCATAATTTATGTGATGCAAGGGATGTCTGCAAGCAGAAGGGGGTCAATTTCAGCACCTGCTATAAAGCAAGGTAAGTTTGTGTTATCTTTTTACGGTATGCTTACAATGTGTGCATGTACAGAAACTGATGTGAGGGAATAGTCACAGAGAAACTATCCATCTGCTCTACACTAGCGAGAGTGCGTGTTTATCAGCGCTGATGACTCATCCCACTATCAGCAGTTACAGCAGCAATCTGCAAGAAATACTGTATGACTCGCGCTGCTCCCCCGGTTTCCTCGATGACTGAACATCCTGTAAAAGCAATGCAGTGGGCCGGATGACCCAACAGTTGCCCCATGAGAGAATACGGAACACAGCAAAATGGGAAAACTTGAAGAGGATGAAGAGGAACAAGTAAAGCACATGTCCACATTTGAGCAAGAAGCCAAAGGAATTAGATGTTTTATGCTAGACCAAAATATGAGAAGAGGTACTACACATCTGGTACATACAAAAAATGATTTCATTATTAAACACTACAAAATCTGCATTAAAGTCCCCAAAAATTTATTCCATGCAGATGATGGTTATCTTGAGGGGGTACTTATTTTTACTGTTTCTGAGGGGAAAATAAAACTGTCATTCTATAATGGACACTGTCCCCCTTCATGTAGCTACCAAATTAATTGAAGACTTCTCCATTTTACTGGAAGCAATGACACACGCTCCTGTCCCTCAGGGAAGGGTGCTAACACTACACGCCCAGTTCATGCTTCCCCTGGAGGATACCTTTGATTTGTATAATTCTAGTTAATTCCTTTTCCTTTTGTTTCATTTTCTTTTTATTTATGTATTTTGGCGCTTGCCTGTAATATTCAAAACATTCTACTGTGAGGTGAATTAAAATTTTCTTCGGACCAAAGTGCAGGTTTTGTTTGCTCTGAATCTGTTGAACTTAACCTGGGAAGTTTCATGTCATACCATGTTTGTATCTGTTAAGTCAGGCCAATAAAACACTGCTGCACATAGAATCTGTATGTACAAATTTATTTATCAATTCAGGATCCTATATTAAATGGTCTGCTCCCCCACCTCACAAGTATAGTCAGTGCCTCGTAACTTTAGCCGCGCAGAAAGGCAAACGCTGTTGTGGAGGATGCGGAGCTGTACGCTTGCTGTGGTGACGTTCAGAGCTACTCCCCAAGCGGAAAACATTGCCTACAGAGACCAACTAACAAGTAACACAATGTACTATACACCTGACCACACTCCAAGATGCTACATTCCAAACTGGTAGTACCCACACTGATGTAAGCTGATAAGACTGCATCCCCAGCTCCGCGAGAGATGGTATGATCCCTCTACTACGGCTAGAGTTCTGAGGAACTAACAGGACATGGGTCTGCATTACCAATTGTGGGAAATTAGAGCATGAGAAGACACAATGTCCATTCCAAATTTCATGAAAATTGGTCAACATGTTCAAAAGTTGAAATGAGGGAGAAAAAAACAGAAACTCAGCACAGTTATCTCATAAGACCATCATCTCTTTGTGGCATTTGTGTTATCCCAATAGATTTACATTAGCATACTCAAGAAGCGGATGGAGTCCCACCTGGTATTTGGCACCTTCCTCAATGATGTATATCTAAAGCAAAGTCAAAATGGAATGATAAAGCATCTTTTCAGACCATTCTGAATATGGAAACATATCAGAGAAATATTTTCCATTTCATGCATCCTGTTGTGTTATACTAGGTGGTTCAAATATGACCAGGACTGATTTTTTGTAAACAAGCCGCATTGCGCAGCAGCTGTGTGACCTTGAGAGAGTGAAGCCACAACCTCCACCCTCCCTCCTGTTAGGGTTAGAACCTGTTCAGTCCTGTCTGGAAGTTGCTAGAGTGATGAGTGAACAGAAGGTACCGCGGAGCGTGAAACAACGCATTGTGATCAAATTCCTCGTTGGAAAAAACGTCCCGTCCGCTGAAATTCACCACAGACTACAACAACAGTATGGGGAAGAGTGTCTCTCATGGACCCGTGTGTTTGAGTGGTGTTAAGTGCTTCAGAGAGGGCAGAGAGTGCATGGAGAATGAACCACATGATCGTCGGCCGCAAACATCCGTCACCAAGCCAAACGTTGTTCGTGCAGACGCACTTATTCGTGAGAATAGGTGCATCACTATCAAGGAACTTGGAGCAATGCTGTCCATCAGTGTTGGTAGTGTAGAAGACATCATGAAATACCACCTGCACTATCACAAGGTGAATGCACGGTGGGTACCATGCACTTCGACAGACGTGAACAAAATGGTGTGCATGCAAGTTGCCAGTCGTCTCCTACAGCAGTTTGAAGATGAAGGTGATGCATTTTTTAAGTCTGTAGTGACCACCGATGAAACGTGGGTGCACTACTTCATTCCCGAGTCCCAGCAGTCATCACGCGAGTGGCAGCATACCAGTTCTCCCAAAACCAAGAGCGCGCGGAGGAGCCGTTCAGCAGGAAAAGTGATGGCAACGTTCTTCTGGGAGTGGCAGGGGGGTTATCCATGTAGACTTTCTGACAGATGCCAGAATAGTCAATGCAGCTTATTACTCAGACCTCCTGGCAACAGACGTGAAGGAAAAGATCCAATCCAAGCGGAAGAGAGGTGGAAAGCGGGTAGCCTTCCTTCAAGACAATGCACACCCCCATATGGCCAAAACAATGGAAACCCTCCGGAAATTGAAATGGAACCTTCTGAAACATACGCCGTACAGTCCCGATTTGGCAC